TACCCGGTTGATGTCTGTGAGCCAGTATCTGTCGCGCAGCTTGCTCAACCGGTGCGTCCTCAAACGACTCTGAACAGCCTACAACCAGCAGCCATCAGCATCCTACCTGGCGACCGAGGAGCCGGGTCTGCCGATAAGAGGGGAGCCGATGCGCCTCTTGCCCATCGACCGCCGAAGAAGCGACGTCTAGAAGAGGAAGGAGAAGAGACTCAGGCTACACAGGCTAGGGGTCTCCAAAACGATCGAATCCCCAACGGTTCAAGGTTACAGCTACAGCCAGCTAGGGAACCCTCCCCAGAACCCTGCTCAAGATCGCAACGGCATACCTGTTCAACTGGAATGGAAACAAGAACAGAAATAGGAACGGCAACTGTGCAGGACAGGAATGACGTCGCGACTATCAGTCAGCCGCCAATCCTAGCATCGCAACGACGTACTGCTCAAGGGCTACGGATTGTGCTGTTCGATGAATTCTTCATGCAGTTGCCTGCATTCCGGATCGCGATTTGCCGGGAGCACAGTAGCGCCGTGACGGCAAAGTCGATCGCCTCGCACATCGATTTGCAGCACAGCCACCTAGCTCTAGGGGATCGGCGGCGCATTGTAGAGGAGGCGTCCGCACTGCGAGACGACGGTTCTTTGGCTGCCGACATGCAGGATATCCGGTTCCCACGCGAGATTATACCCGCAATCGACGGGTTGCCAGTCTGGAGCGATGGAAAGAAGTGTATACAGTGCGGGTATATCCGGCGGACGAGGAATCATATCCAGCAGCATTGCCGGTCAGAGCATGGTTGGGTCAACCCGAGGGGCCGCGGCCGCAAGTCAGGGCAGATGCCGGCAGGCGGGTTGGGCGAGGCATGGGTGGACGGGGTATATTGTCAGCGGTTCGGGAGGGACGGCGCGCTACAGAGGTTGTTTGAGGTCGTGCCGCCGCCGGCAGCCAACAAGGGCTAGGGCTAGAGCCAGGGTCAGGGCCGGTTAGGAGCGTACAGGAGGTAATCCAGGCCGAATTCGAGGCGTGGGCACGCGCCATTAAGGAGAAGGACGAGGCGGCAGCGGCGTTGATCGGCGAGAGGCCGAAGAGGAGGCGAGCCGTGCAGGAAGCGAGGATGCGTCGGCCGACGTCGAGGCGGAGAGCAAGAGAGCAGGAGAGCGAGCGAGCGAGCGGGGAGCCATGGTAATGTTCAACGACATATTCACACCATTACCCGCGTTGCGTACGGCGGTTTGCCACGATCATGGAAGTGTGGCGACCGCCCGGTCGGTCGCGTCGCATGTCAATTTACAGCACCGCCATTTAGCCGTGCAGGCCCGCCGGCGTATCGTGGAGGAGGCGTTGGTGTTGCGGGATGATGGTTTGTTGGCCGCCGATCCAAACGGCGTCCGATTTCCCGACGAGGTTGTACCGGCGATCGACGGATTACCCGTGTGGAACGACGGCAAGAAGTGTATGGAGTGCGGGTACATCCGGCGGACGAGAAACCATATCCAGCAGCATTGCCGGTCAGAGCATGGTTGGGTGAACCCGAGGGGCCGCGGCCGTAGGGGGCCCGCAAGTGCAGAAGCAATCAGTCGTAATTTTAAAAAAATATCAGGGTTTTATTTTCCGAGGTGATAGGTTAGGTTCCGTAAGCCGCAGTCGCAGTACCAGCAAGGTAGGAGCGATCAGCCGAATGTTGATATGATATAAGAAGATAAAAAAAGGT